TCCTGACATATTTAGAAACCACAGCTAAGGAAATGATGGTCCAGATATTGATCGAAGAGAATATTTGTAGCTCAGGGTTGAATTCTGGGGTCCTTGGTGGTCTCTGAGATTGGTTGTTTGCTTGCAGATGTTTTATGACCCAACTAGGTAACATCATCAGTACTAGAAGGGAGTATGGTTGGCAGGGAGGAGGAGGAAGAAGAAGAGGAGGAGGACGACAACTATAGTGCCCTTGGTGCTCTCTGAACTGGATTGCTTCCTTGCAGATATTGCATTACCGAACTAGGTAACATCATCAGTGCCCGGAAAGGGAGGAGGAGGAGGAGGAGGAGGAGGAGGAGAAAGAGGAGGAGGAGAATTGGAAGGATTTTGATGTTCTCCGAGCTTGGTTGTTTTCTTGTAGACATTTCATGACGCAGCATGATCAGTGCTAGAAGGGAGTGTGGTTGGCAGATAGGAGGAGGAGGAGGGAGAGGAGGAGGGGGAGGGAGAGGAGGAGGACTGAAGAGTCCTTGGAATTTCATTTCTTTTTTCAGATGTTTCATGACCCTACTAGGGAACATCCTCAGTGCTAGAAGGGAGGAAGAGTAGGACTATAGCGTCCTTGGTGCTCTCTGAGCTGGGTTGTTTCCTTGCAGACATTTCATTACCCAACTAGGAAACATCATCAGTGCCAGGAAAGGGAGTAGAAGGAGGAAGAAGAGGAGGAGTAGGAGTAGGAGAATTGGAAGAATTTTGGTGTTTCTCGTAGACGTTTCACAACCCAAACTCACTAACATCCTCAGAGCAAAGCACTGATGAGGTTACCTAGTTGGGTAACACAATGTTTGCAAGAAAACAACCCAGCTCAGAGAGCACCAAGGACCCCACAGTCTGGACATATTTGCCTTGTGGCCCAAAGGTCATGACCCGTGACCGTTCTGTGTTTATAAGATGCATTATTACCCCACGCTTCTTGGAATATGAAGTACAAGGACTTATCCAATTCTGCCATCTTGGTTTCTGCTCCCCCTCAGAGAGAGGCGTGAAAGAGAACTTCACGAAGCTTACAAGAATGCCAGGTCTCAGGAAGAGGCAGACAGGATACTCCAACATTACATCGAGAGGTTCACCATTAGCGAAGCTGTCCTTGAACGCTTGGAGATGCCAAAACTTTTGGAAAGAAGCCATTCTGCTGAGCCAAATTCATCCTCCCCATCCAAGGACTCCAACCCTCTCCGATATTTACGGCAGCAGTCACTCCCAGCCCCAAAATTCACTGCCAAGTTCGAAGCCACCATCATCCCCACCAGTGGGCCAGAGGCTAGCACCTCCACTGGCTCCCCCGCCTCAAGCAAACCCTCAGGCTCCGTGGCTATGCCTCTGGTGACGCCCAAGCCTTACTCGCAGCCGAAAGATACCCAGGAGATTTTGAGAAACTTCAAGGTGGGTTAAGATATGGCAAGAAGAAGGCCTCCAGTGAGATGGGCAGCATGCAAGTTTAGTAAATAGTAAATAGGTGATGGTGGGTGGATGGATGGATAGATGGATGGATGGACAGACATGATAGATGATAGATGAGATAGATGATGGATGGATGGACAGACGGATAGACATAGAGGAGAGATGGTGGATGGGTGATGATGGATGGATGGATGGATGGA